GTGAGCTAGCTTAATAAAATTGAGATAGCGTGTTTTTCTAATAACGGTGCATCTTTGTGCCTTTAATGAATCAAATCGGGTGAAAACTGGCCTTAGACCGCACATAACGAATAAGCCGTATTTAGCTGTCAGTATTACTGCGACTCTAGTCTTTCCAATTTACAGGAGAATGAAAATTTCGGTTGCACCCGAACTTAGCCCTTCCTTACATGATTTTTATTAGTTTCTATGTTTTCTAAATGCATACAAACAATTGTAGATACTTTTATATTTGCTCACTTCAACTTTTAGCCACAGAGTCATATTCGCACCACAATTTGCAATCTATGCGCCACAATCACACAAGTGCTGGTAAGATTGGTTACGATCACACGTGTATGTGCGTAATAAATAAAATGGTTGAGGGCTTGCTTCGGTGGAGTTTTTGTTTGATTTGCTTGGGCCACAGGTTCCAGTTTAACTTTGCTTGATTGGATTTTCTCTTCATATTTCGGCTGTGTTATAAATTTTGATCTCTAAACTGACGAGGTACTACTCCATTGGGGAATCTCAATTTCTGAGATGTGGCCAAAATTGGAGAATAGTTTAAAACCGTATCAGCAAACGCATAAARTATTTCATATAAATCGAAAAAATATGTTGAAGACATTTATTAAACTGTGCAAACGACGCAATGTAGCTAACATCCTTGGATTGTGTCAGCTACTTAAAGGCATTATCCACATTCTTACATCTTCGGATACAGCCTTGTGTACAATTTAGGATTCAAGTTAATCATTTACTACAAATACCACAAGCCTATGTTCTTTAAATATTTTAGAGAAATATATTTTCAGCATTTAATTTCATTGTGACAGACAGTTACCCCATTTTCTGCTTCTTTTGTAAGTAAGGTTAGGCTAAGAGGTCGATCTTAACTGGGATCTCTTTAGGGTAGCTTAGAACGCGGGTCTGATATTTTACCTAAAACTCCTACATAATAGATCATAAGACCCTTACACCTCGACAAAACGCTTTGAGCCTATCACAATTTTGTTGTGATGGTTAATGGACGTTTCGGCTATGTCTTTTGGATCGTCGAAAATAAGACTGCCGAGATGTTTCATCYGCCGTCTTACAAAGGCTGGACAATGGAGTAGAGAGTGTCTGAATGCATCCACCTCGCCCGTTCACAACTGGATGACATGACCTAGCCATCCTAGCCGCTGTCTTTTAATTCGCTGACCTATGTCAATGTCGTCGTATATCTCATACAGTTCATCAATTTAGTTTTTGCTAATGCTATAAATCTTCCGCAGAATATTTCTCTCGGAAACTCGTAACGTGGACGCATCAGATAGATGTCCTCATCGTCCATGAGTCTGCACCGAATGCAGGACGGGATTAATAATTAACTTATAGAGATTAATATTTCTTCGTCGAGGGAGGACTTTACATCTSGAATGCCTACTTAGACCGAAGTAGTCCTTGTTGGCAGAAGTAATTCTTTGTCGGATTTCGAGGTTGACATTGTTGTTGCTGTTAATACTGGTTCCAAGATAGAGGAAATTATATAAGACTTCGATTTTATGACTGTTAACAGTGACGTTGGAGCCAAGTCGCGAGTGCGACGACTGTTTGTTTGATGATAGGCGATATTTCGTCTTGCCCTAGATCACTACAATCTTCACTTCCTTACCCGGTCTGGAGAAAGCAGAACTTACGGCGCCGATGTTCAGACCAATGAAATCAATATCAGCGGCGTATGCCGGCAGATGTACAGTCGTATAGAAAATTGTAACTTCACGCTTAAGCTCTGCAGCTCGAATTATTTTGCCCAGCAGTAGATTGAAGAAGTCGCACAATAAGGAGTCGCCTTGTCTGAAACTTCATTTGGTACCGAACGGCTCGGAAAGGTCCTTCCCGATCTTCACAGAGCTTATGGTATTGCTCAAAATAAGTTTACACAGCTGTATTGGTTTTTCGGGATACCAAATTCAGACATAGCGGCAAAGAGGCAGTTCCTTTTCGTGTTGTCTAAAACAGCTTAAAAATCGACGAAGASGTGGTGTCTTGATCGAATTTTTACTTTTCTTTTCCGATATTTGGCATATGGTGAATAKCTGCTCAGTTTCTGATTTTCCAGGYTTGAAGCCACACAGATAAGATCCAATCAGTTTGTTCATGGTGGTCTTTAATTTTTCAAACAGCACGCTCATAGAACCTTATATGCGATGTTGAGGAGGCCTATTCCACGGTGGTTGGCGCAGATTGTGAGGTTTCTCTTTTGGTGAATTAGACAGAGCACACTTCAATTTCAAAAGTCGGGCATGCTTAAGTTCAACCATATGTTACAAAGGAGCTGATGCATGCTCCTTATCAGTTCTTTCTATGTTTTTGTTATTATTTTTAATTCTTCCATAATTGCTTGTTTACATTTCTAAACCCTTGCTTTGATCTTTGACTCATACATAGGTTCCTGGCAGTAATCTAGTGCAAATCGGAATTGATTTAAGTGAATTTTACTTATCAGTCGAATGGGACATACTTGAAGTTCCTGCAACTAAGAATGAGGAATACTATCCAGACACATTGGAACCGTTTTCTGGTAAAATCAAGACAATAATTTTATCATTGTTTGTTTTTCAATTCCAGACAAAGTATTTAGCTTGTTTTTATAAAATTTTCTCTGAAAAGTTTACAATGTTGAATATACTTTTTATAATTAACCATTGAATCGGGTTATATTGCTTTTTTTTCAAAATATTTAATATATGTATACCATAATCTCAAGTCSTTTTGAAATACTTTTATTCCACAGATATTACATTTAAGCTCACCATGCGTCGTAAAACACTATTTTATACCGTTAATTTAATTGTGCCCTGTGTTGCATTGACATTTTTAACGGTGTTGGTATTTTATTTGCCCAGCGATTCCGGCGAGAAGGTAACAAATTCTGTACAAAATTTAGTTCTGTTTTTACTAGCTAAATACTAACAGGCRTTTACTGAGTTGGTAGCTAAGCTTTTACGATCATTTGTATTCGTTGACGGTTCTAACTGTGTATTTTTTTAAATTAATAAGATTATTCTTGTATTTTTTAAATATATCTCTTTMAGCTGTATATTAGTATTTTAAGCATGTTTTGCCTTGAAAATTTTACCTATAATCTTATGTACTTTACTATATTTGTAGTGAACAATTTTGTCTACTGCATATCGTCACTTAAAATACAAAAGGGCGTATCTTAAAAAAAAAAATCGAAAATCACTTTCATGTATTATTATTACCAATCGTTTTATAATCAAAACTCAAATTTTGTTTCAATATGAATGGGAGCTAACCCATATATAACCAGTTTGTAACCAATATATAACCATTTTATAACTAAAACTCAAACTATTGGCATATGAGTAGTTACTATTATATCGTTCTTCCTTCGCCTATAAACCTATAAACTTATTAAAAGGGATGTTAAGTTATTTTGTATTTTAGGTGACGATATACGGTTTACTGTACTCTTACAAAATGCTTTATAATGCATGCGATCTCTTATCAAACTATTTCTAATACACTTATACCCTTCAAAACATTATTTACTTTCTAATCACACTATCACTGCTTTAAAAAATCTAACCGAACATTTTTAAATTTATACTAACAGCATAACTATTCGGGCAAATATTAATTAACGGTATTTTTAACTTAGCGATTGCAGTCAGATTGAGGGTATTCTCAAAACGAGAATTATTAGTTAAATGTTTGTAATATAAATAGGTGTGTTGAGTAAATGAAATGAAGAATTTATAAAAAAACATATAGTTTTTTAAAAAATTTTAACAACATTTCTTAAATTTAGACAAAAAAATTTTATCTTCAACAATTTTTCTTTCGTACAACTTTATATATACCGCTGTGTTTATTAAAATAGTAGTGCTGGTAGGTTCCACTTATAAAAGGAAATAAATCAAACTAAAAATACATGCTATGAACTCAAAAACATTCAAAAGTAATTTTTAGCCATTTCTATGTACATATGTATTTACCGTGTTTTTCAAAACTATATTTATATATATATGTGTATATATACGTATACATATATGTTACTAACAAGATTTATTAAAAAAAAAACTTAAAAGTAAGTTTGTTTACAAAAATAGTGGTGCCAATTTTGTCGATGGAAGAACAGAAAAAAATTCTTAATCAATTAAAATTTGACTTGAGCTCACGCATCTTAGAATACTAGGAAAACTTGTGTTCTACTTAACTTATTTGCTTTTTCAAAAATTCGTTTAACATCTGCCTATAAATATATGATCTGATTTATGAACAGTGCCTGCGCTGGCCTGGACACCCATTCTATAGTAGATCCCTTCTTAGCTAATGCGCTTGTATGATTTGAACCGTTATCCTGCTGAAACGTCTTTTTTGTAAGCATTTTCCAGCAAGCAAATGGCAACATTACAAACAAACATATAGGACCAACGCCATGGTATGAAGAGCAAAACCATACCAGGAGCATTCTGACAACCATGTTTGAAAGCTTTGAAAGTGTACCTGGAATTATATTATGTGCTTTATAGTGGACAGGGTATCATTGGACTTATTTTTTTTTTGCTTCCCTCACCCTAACGCACGTTCCACCATTTGTAGATGGACAATTGAAATGTTCTTTTGCGAACTTCATTCTCACATTCAAATGAGTTTTTTTTTACACAAACAGTACCTACTTTTCGGGCACCCTTTGTTTAAATTTTTTTTTGTGAAATAGTCTTCCACGATTTATAAGAGTACTAAACGATAAACCGAAATAATTTTTTATAATTTTTGAGGATGTTTAGAGCTTGTTTTTAACAATGTCTTCATTTACCCGCTAAAAGGAAAGTGCACAGAGATTTTAAAAAACTTTCATCAGAAAATTCTTTAAGTCCTTAAATTCACTTACTTATTGAATTATCGACCTCTAACGACAGGCATTACTATATTAATGAACAGCTTGTGCGAAAACAACTTCAAATATAAGCAGCTGTTGCACTACTATTTTCATGAACACAACTGTACATATATTTTACAGTGAAAAAATATTTAAAACAAAAAAAAAA